AAAAAAAGAAGGAGATAGCTATCATTGGACGAAAGAAAGAATAAAAAAAGAAAAAGAAAAAAAAAAAAAAAAGAAGGAGATTTTTATCAATTGGACGAAAAAGAATAAAGAAAAGAAAAAAAAAAGAAAAAAAAAAAAAGAATAAAAAAAAAAAAAAAAGAGATAGCTATCAATTGACGAAAAAAAAAAAAAAAGAAAAAAAAAAAAGAAAAAAAAAGAAGGAGATAGCTATCAATTGGACGAAAAGAAAAGAAATAAAAAAAAAAAAAAAAAAAAAAAGAAGGAGATAGCTATCAATTGGACGAAAGAAAGAATAAAAAAAAAAAAAAAAGAAAAAGAAGGAGATAGCTATCAATTGGACGAAAGAAAGAATAAAAAAAAAAAAAAAAAAAAAGGAGATAGCTATCAATTGAAGAAAGAAAGAAAAAAAAAGAAAAAAAAAGAAAAAAAAAAGGAAATAGCTATCAATTGGACGAAAGAAAGAAAAAAAAGAAAAAAAAAAAAAAAAAAAAAAGAGGAGAAAGCTATCAATTGGAAGAAAGAAAGAATAAAAAGAAAAAAGAAAAGAATAAAAAAAAAAGAAAAAAAGAAGGAGATAGCTATCAATTGACGAAAGAAAAAAGAATAAAAAGAAAAAGAAAAAAAAAAAAAAAGGAGATAATATCAATTGGACGAAAGAAAGAATAAAAAGAAAAAAGAAAAAGAAAAAAAAGAAGGAGATAGCTATCAATTTGACGAAAAGAAAAGAATAAAAAAAAAAAAAAAAAAAAAAAGAAGGAGAGATTATCAATTGGAGGAAAAAAAGAAAGATAAAAAAAAAAAAAAAAAAAAAAAAAAAAGAAGGAGATAGCTATCAATTGGACGAAAGAAAGAATAAAAAAAAAAAAAAAGAAAAAAAGAAGGAGATAGCTATCAATTGACGAAAGAAAGAATAAAAAAAAAAAAAAAAAAAAGAAGGAGATAGCTAAACTGACGAAAGAAAGAATAAAAAAAAAAAAAAAAAAAAAAAGAAGGAGATAGCTATCAATTGGAAGAAAGAAGAAAAAAGAAAAAAAAAAGAAAAAAGAAGGAGATAGCTATCAATTGGACGAAAGAAAGAATAAAAAAAAAAAAAAAAAAAAAAAAAAGGAGAAGCTAAAAATCAATTGGACGAAAAAGAATAAAAAAGAAAAAGAAAAAAAAAGAAGGAGAAAGAAGCTATCAATTGACGAAGAAAGAATAAAAAAGAAAAAAAAAAAAAAAAAGAAGGAGATAGATATCAATTGGACGAAAGAAAGAATAAAAAAAAAAAAAAAAAAAAAAAGAAGGAGATAGCTATCAATTGGACGAAAGAAAGAATAAAAAAGAAAAAAAAAAAAAAAAGAAGGAGAAGCTATCAATTGGACGAAAGAAAGAAAAAAAGAAAAAAAAAAAAAAAAAGAAGGAGATATCTATTTGACGAAAGAAAGAATAAAAAAAAAAGAAAAAGAAAAAAAAAGAAGGAGACAAGCTATCAATTGGACGAAAGAAAGAACAAAAAAGAAAAAAAAAAAAAAAAGAGAGGAGATATGAATTGGACGAAAGAAAGAGAAAAAAAAAAAAAGAAAAAAAAAAAAAAGAAGGAGATAGCTATCAATTGGACGAAAGAAAGAAAAAAAAAAAAAAAGAAAAAAAAAAAAGAAGGAGAGAAGCTAAAACTGACGAAAGAAAGAATAAAAAAGAAAAAGAAAAAGAAGGAGATAGCTATCAATTGACGAAAGAAAGAATAAAAAAGAAAAAAAAAAAAAAAGAAGAGAGAAATAACTGAAGAAAAGAAAGAATAAAAAAGAAAAAAGAAAAAAAAGAAGGAGAGAAATCACTGACGAAAGAAAGAATAAAAAAAAAAAAAAAGAAAAAGAAGGAGATAGCTATCACTGACGAAAGAAAGAATAAAAAAGAAAAAGAAAAAAAAAAAAAGAAGGAGAAGCTATCAATGGACGAAAAGAAAAAAAGAAAAAAAGAAAAAAAGGAAAAAAAAAGAATAAAAAAAGAAAAAGAAAAAGAAGGAGAGTTGTAAACGAAAAGACTGAAGAAAGAAAGAATAAAAAAGAAAAAAAAAAAAAAAGAAGGAGATAAATAAAAAAGAAAATTGAAGAAAGAAAGAAAAAAAAAAGATATATCAATTGAAGAAAAGAAAGAATAAAAAAAAGAAAAAAAAAGAAGGAGAGAAGCTATCAATTGGACGAAAGAAAGAATAAAAAAAAAAAAAAGAAAAAAAAAAAAAAAGAAGAGATAGCTAATAATTGGACGAAAGAAAGAAAAAAAAAAAAAAAAAAGAAAAAAAAGAAGGAGATAGCTATCAATGGACGAAAGAAAGAACAAAAAAAAAAAAAAAAAAAAAAAGAAGGAGATAGCTATCAATTGGACGAAACAAAAGAATAAAAAGAAAAAAAAAAAAAAAAAAGAAGGAGATAGATATCAATTGGAAGAAAAGAAAGAATAAAAAAAGAAAAAAAGAAAAAAGAATAAAAAAAAAAGAAAAAGGAGATAGCTATCAATTGGAAAAAAAAGAAAGAAAGAATAAAAAGAAAAAAAAAAAAAAAAAAAGAAGGAGATAGCATTTGGACGAAAGAAAGAATAAAAAGAAAAAAAAAGAAAAAAGAAGGAGATAGCTATCAATTGGACGAAAGAAAGAATAAAAAAAAAAAAGAAAAAAAAAAAAAAAGGAGAAGCTTATCAATTGACGAAAGAAAGAATAAAAAAGAAAAAAAAAGAAAAAAGAAGGAGATAGCCATCAATTGACGAAAGAAAGAATAAAAAAGAAAAAAAAAGCAAAAAAAAAAGAAGAAGGAGATAGCTATCAATTGACGAAATAAAAATAAAAGAAAAAAAGAAAAAAAAAGAAAACTGAAAAAGAAAGAATAAAAAAAAAAAAAAAAAGAAGGAGATAGCTATCAATTGAGAAAAAAATAAAAAAGAAAAAAAAAAAAAGAAAAAAGAAGGAGATAGCTATCAATTGACGAAAGAAAGAATAAAAGAAAAAAAAAGAAAAAAAGAAGGAGATAAACACTGAAAAAAGAAAGAATAAAAAAAGAAAAAGAAAAAAGAAAAAGAAAGCTATATTGACGAAAAGAAAGAATAAAAAAGAAAAAAAGAAAAAAAAAAGGAGATAGCTATCAATTGACGAAAAGAAAGAATAAAAAAAAAAAAAAGAAAAAAAAAAAGAAGGAGATAGCTATCAATTGGACGAAAAAAGAAAGAATAAAAAGAAAAAAAAAAAAAAAAAGGAGAAGCTATCAATTGGACGAAAGAAAGAATAAAAGAAAAAAAAAAAAAAGAAGGAGACGAAAGAAAGAATAAAAAAAAAAAAGAAAAAAATTGGAGAAACAATTGGAAAGAAGAAAAAAAAAAAAGAAAAAAGAAGGAGATAGCTATCAATTGGACGAAAGAAAGAAAAAAAAAAAGAAAAGAAAAAAAAAAAAGAAGGAGAGAATAAAAAAAAAGAAAAAGCTATCAATTGGACGAAAGAAAGAAAAAAAAAGAAAAAGAAAAAGAAAAAAAGAAGGAGATAAAAATCAATTTGACGAAAGAAAGAATAAAAAAGAAAAAAAAAAAAAAGAAGGAGATAGCTATCAATTGACGAAAGAAAGAATAAAAAGAAAGAAAAAAAAAAAAAAAAAAAAAAGAAGGAGATAGCTATCAATGGGACGAAAGAAAGAAAAAAAAGAAAAAGAAAAAAAAAGAAGGAGATAGCATCAATTGACGAAAGAAAGAAAAAAAAAGAAAAAAAAAAGAAAAAGAAGAAGGAGATAGCTAAATTGGAAAGAAAAAAAGAAAAAAAAAAGAATAGCATATCAATTGGACGAAAAATAAAAAAAAAAAAAAAAAAAAAAAGGAGATAGCTATCAATTGGACGAAAGAAAGAATAAAAAAGAAAAAGAAAAAAAAAAAAAGGAGATAGTTATCAATTGACGAAAGAAAGAATAAAAAAAAAAAAAAAAAAAAAAAGGAGGAGATAGCTATCAATTGGACGAAAAAAAAAGAAAAAAAAAAAAAAAAAGAAAAAAGAAGGAGATAGCTATCAATTGACGAAAGAAAAAGAAAAAAAAGAAAAAAAAAAAAAAAAAGAAGGAGAAAAGCTATCAATTGGACGAAAGAAAGAATAAAAAGAAAAAAAAAAAAAAAAAGAAGGAGATATTATCAATTGACGAAAGAAAGAATAAAAAAAAAAAAAAAAGAAAAGGAGATAGATATCAATTGGACGAGAAAGAAAGAAAAAAAAGAAAAAAAAAAAAAAAAAGAAAAAAGGAGAGAAGAGAATATCAATTGACGAAAGAAAGAATAAAAAAAAAAAAGAAAAAAAAAGAAGGAGATAAAAAATATCAAAAAAAAGGACGAAAGAAAGAAGAAAAAAAGAAAAAAAAAAAAAAAAGAAGGAGATAGCTATCAATTGGATTGGACGAAAGAAAGAATAAAAAAGAAAAAAAAGAAAAAAAAGAAGGAGATAGCTATCAATTGGACGAAAGAAAGAATAAAAAAAAAAAAAAAAAAAAAAGAAGGAGATAGCTATCAATTGGACGAAAGAAATAAAAGAAAAAGAAAAAAGAAAAAAAGAAGGAGATAAATAATTTGACGAAAGAAAGAATAAAAAAAAAAAAAAAAAAGAAAGAAAAAAGAAGGAATAAAAAGAAAAAAATCAAAAAGACGAAAGAAAGAACGAAAAAAAAAAAAAAAAAAAGAAAAAGAAGGAGATAGCTGTCAATTGGACGAAAGAAAGAATAAAAAAAAAAAAAAAAAAAAAAAGATAAAAAAAGAAGAAAAAAAGAATAAAAAGAAAAAAAAAAAAAAGAAAGAACGAAAGAAAGAAAAAAAAGAAAAAAAAAAAAAGAAAAAAGAAGGAGATAGCTATCAATTGACGAAAGAAAGAATAAAAAAAAAAAAAAAAAAAAAAAAGAAGGAGATAGCTATCAATTGGATGGAAAGAAAAAAAAAAAAAAAAAAGAAAAAAAAAAAAGAAGGAGAAGCTATCAATTGACGAAAAAGAAAGAATAAAAAAAAAAAAAAAAAGAAAAAAAAGAAGGAGATAGCTATCAATTGGACGAAAGAAAGAATAAAAAAAAAAAGAAAAAAAGGAAAAAAAGAAGGAGATAGCTAGAAAATTGACGAAAAAGAAAGAATAAAAAAAAAAAAAAAAAAGAAAAAAAAGAAGGAGATAGCTATCAATTGGACGAAAGAAAGAATAAAAAAGAAAAAAAAAGAAAAAAAAAGAGATAAAAATTGAGAAAGAGAGAATAAAAAGAAAAAAAAAAAAACGAGAAGAAAGAATGAAAAAAGAAAGAAAAAAAAAAAAAAAGAAAAAGAAAGAAAAAGAAGGAGATAGCTAAAAGAAAAAGAAAAAAGAGGAAAGAAAGAATAAAAAAGAAAAAGAAAAAAGAAAAAAAGAAGGAGATAGCTATCAATTGACGAAAGAAAAGAATAAAAAAAAAAAAAAAAAAAAAAAAGAAGGAGCTATCAATTGACGAAAGAAAGAAAAAAAGAAAAAAGAAAAAGAAAAAGAAGGAGATAGAAAAAAAAGAAAAATTGGAAAAAAGAAAGAACAATTGAAAAAGAAAGAAAAAAGAAAAAAAAAAAAAAGAAGGAGATAGCTATCAATTGACTTAAAAAGAAAGAATAAAAAAAAAAAAAAAAAAAAAAAGAAGGAGATAGCTATCAATTGACGAAAGAAAGAATAAAAAAAAGAAAAAAAAAAAAAGAAGGAGATAGCTATCAATTGGACGAAAGAAAGAATAAAAAAGAAAAAAAAGAAAAAAGAAGGAGATAGCTATCAATTGGACGAAAGAAAGAAAAAAAAAAAAAAAAAAAAAAAAGAAGGAGATAGCTATCAATTGGACGAAAGAAAGAATAAAAAAAAAAAAAAAAGAAAAAAAAGAAGGAGATAGCTATCAATTGGACGAAAGAAAGAATAAAAAAAAAAAAAAAAGAAAAAAAAGAAGGAGATAGCTATCAATTGACGAAAGAAAGAAAAAAAAAAGAAAAAAAAAAAAAAAAAAAGAAGGAGATAGCTATCAATTGGACGAAAGAAAGAATAAAAAGAAAAAAAAAAAAAAAAAAGAAGGAGAGATAGAAAGAATCAAGAAAAAAAAAAAAAAAAAAAGAATATTGGAAAAAAAAAAAAAAAAAAAAAAGAAGGAGATAGCTATCAATTGACGAAAGAAAGAAAAAAAAAAAAGAAAAAGAAAAAAAGAAGGAGATAGCTATCAATTGGACGAAAGAAAGAATAAAAAAGAAAAAAAAAAAAGAAAAAAAGAAGGAGATAGCTAAAAATTGACGAAAGAAAAAAAAAAAATAAAAAAAAAAAAAAAGTAAAAAAGGAGATAGCTATCAATTGGACGAAAGAAAGAATAAAAAGAAAAAAAAAAAGAAAAAAGAAGGAGATAGCTTATCAATTGACGAAAGAAAGAATAAAAAAGAAAAAAGAAAAAGAAAAAAAGAAGGAGATAGCTATCAATTGACGAAAGAATAAAAAAAAAAGAAAAAAAAAAAAGAAGGAGATAGCTATCAATTGACGAAAGAAAGAATAAAAAAAAAAAAAAAAAAAAAAGAAGGAGATAGCTATCAATTGGACGAAAGAAAGAATAAAAGAAAAAAAAAAGAAAAAAAGAAGGAGATAGCTATCAATTGAAAAGAAAGAATAAAAAAAAAAAAAAGAAAAAAAGAAAGAAAATACTGACGAAAGAAAGAAAAAAGAAAAAAGAAAAAAAAGAAGGAGATAGCTATCAATTGGACGAAAGAAAGAATAAAAAAGAAAAAAAAGAAAAAAAAGAAGGAGATAGCAAATGATGAAAGAAAGAAAAAAAAGAAAAAAAGAAAAAAAAAAGAGATAGCTATCAATTGGACGAAAGAAAGAATAAAAAAAAAAAAAAAAAAAAAGAAGAAGGAGAGCTATCAATTGGACGAAAGAAAGAATAAAAAAAAAAAAAGAAAAAAAGAAGGAGATATTATCAATTGGACGAAAGAAAGAAAAGAATAAAAAAAAAAAAGAAAAAAAAGAAGGAGATAGCTATCAATTGACGAAAGAAAGAATAAAAAAGAAAAAAAAAAAAAAAGAAGGAGATATACAATTGGACGAAAGAAAGAATAAAAAAAAAAAAAAAAAAAAAAGAAGGAGATAGCTATTAATTGACGAAAGAAAGAATAAAAAAAGAAAAAAAAAAAAAAAAAAGAAGGAGATAGCTATCAATGGACGAAAGAAAGAATAAAAAAAAAAAAAAAAAAAAAAAAAAGAAGGAGATAGCTATCAATTGGACGAAAGAAAGAATAAAAAAAAAAAAAAAGAAAAAAAAAAAAGAAGGAGAAGCTATCAATTGGACGAAAGAAAGAATAAAAAGAAAAAAAAAAGAAAAAAGAAGGAGATTGCTATCAATTGACGAAAAAAGAATAAAAAAAAAAAAAAAAAAAAAAAAGAAGGAGATAGCTATCAATTGACGAAAGAAAGAAAAAAAAAAAGAAAAAAAAGAAGGAGATAGCTATCAATTGGACGAAAGAAAGAATAAAAAAAAAAAAAAAAAAAAAAGAAGGAGATAGCTATCAATTGGACGAAAGAAAGAATAAAAAAGAAAAAAGAAAAAAGAAAAAAAAGAAGGAGATAGCTATCAATTGGACGAAAGAAAGAATAAAAGAAAAAAAAAAAAAAAAAAAAGAAGGAGATAGCTATCAATTGGACGAAAGAAAGAATAAAAAAAAAAAAAAAAAAAAGAAGGAGAGATAGCTATCAATTGGACGAAAGAAAGAATAAAAAGAAAAAAAAAAAAAAAAGAAGGAGATAGCTATCAAAATTGACGAAAAAAAGAAAGAAAAAAAAAAAAAAAAAAAAAAAAGAATAAAAGAAAAAAGAAGCTAAGGAGAACTGACGAAAGAAAAGAAAAAAAGAAAAAAAAAAAGAAAAAAGAAGGAGATAGCTATCAATTGACGAAAGAAAGAATAAAAAAAAAAAAAAAAAAAGAAGGAGATAGCTATCAATTGGACGAAAGAAAGAATAAAAAGAAAAAAAAAAAAAAAAAGAAGGAGAGAAGCGAAAGAAAGAATAAAAAAAAAAAAAGAAAAAAGAAAGAAAGAAAAAAAAAAAAGAAAAAAAAAAAAGAAGGAGATAGCTATCAATTGACGAAAGAAAGAAAAAAAAAAAAAAAAAAAGAAAAAAAGAAGGAGATAGCTATCAATTGGACGAAAGAAAGAATAAAAAAGAAAAAGAAAAAAAAAAAAAAAAAGAAGGAGATAATATCAATTGACGAAAGAAAGAAGAAAAAAAAAAAAAAAAAAAAAAGATAGCTATCAATTGACGAAAGAAAGAAAAAAAAAAAAAAAGAAAAAAGAAGGAGAGAAGCTATCAATTGGACGAAAGAAAGAATAAAAAGAAAAAAAAAAGAAAAAGAAGGAGATAGCTATCAATTGGACGAAAGAAAGAATAAAAAAAAAAAAAAAAAAAAAAAAAAAAGAAGGAGATAAAATCAAAAAAGAAAAAAGAAAGAATAAAAAAGAAAAAAAAAAAAGAAAAAAAAGAAGGAGATAGCTATCAATTGGACGAAAGAAAGAAAAAAAGAAAAAGAAAAAAAAAAAGAAGGAGATAGCTATCAATTGGACGAAAGAAAGAATAAAAAGAAAAAAAAAGAAAAAAGAAGGAAAAAAAGCTATCAATTGGACGAAAGAATAAAAAAAAAAAGAAAAAAGAAAAAAAAGGAGAGAAGCTATCACTGACGAAAGAAAGAATAAAAAAGAAAAAAGAAAAAAAAAGAAGGAGATAGCTATCAATTGGACGAAAGAAAGAATAAAAAAGAAAAAAAAAGAAAAAAAAGAAGGAGATAGCTATCAATTGGACGAAAGAAAGAATAAAAAAGAAAAAAGAAAAAGAAAAAAAAAAAAAGAAGGAGAAAAAAAAAAAGATAGGATCAATTGGACGAAAGAAAGAATAAAAAAAAAAAAAAGAAAAAAAAAAAAGAAGGAGATAGCTATAAAAATTGACGAAAAAGAAAAAGAAAGAATGGACGAAAAAAGAAAAAAAGAAAAAAAAAAAAAGAAGGAGATAAATATCAATTGGACGAAAGAAAGAATAAAAAAAAAAAAAAAAAAAAAGAAGGAGATAGCTATCAATTGACGAAAGAAAGAATAAAAAAAAAAAAAAAAAAAAAAAAAAGGAGAGATAGCTATCAATTGACGAAAGAAAGAATAAAAAGAAAAAAAAAAAAAAAGAAGGAGATAGCTAATTGGACGAAAGAAAGAATAAAAAAAAAAAAAAAAAAAAAAGAAGGAGATAGCTATCAATTGGACGAAAGAAAGAATAAAAAAAAAAAAAGAAAAGAAGGAGAAGCTATCAATTGGACGAAAGAAAGAATAAAAAAGAAAAAAGAAAAAAAAAGAAGGAGAAATCAATTGGACGAAAGAAAGAATAAAAAGAAAAAAAAAAAAAAAAAGAAGGAGATAGCTATCAATTGACGAAAGAAAGAATAAAAAAGAAAAAAAGAAAAAAGAAGGAGACGAAAGAAAGAATAAAAAGAAAAAAAAAAAAAAAAAGAAGGAGATAATTGGACGAAAAGAAAAAAGAAAAAAAGAAAAAAAGAAAAAAAGAAGGAGATAGCTTATCAATTGGACGAAAGAAAGAATAAAAAAAAAAAAAAAAGAAAAAAAAAGAAGGAGAAAAGAAAAATCAATTGGACGAAAGAAAGAATAAAAAAAAAAAAAAAAAAAGAAAAAAAGAAGGAGATAAATATCAATTGGACGAAAGAAAAAGAATAAAAAAAAAAAAGAAAAAAAAGAAGGAGATAGCTATCAATTGGACGAAAGAAAGAATAAAAAAGAAAAAAAAAAAAAAAAAAAGAAGGAGATAGCTATCAATTGGACGAAAAAAAGAAAGAATAAAAGAAAAAAAAAAAAAAAAAAGAAGGAGATAGCTGTCAATTGACGAAAGAAAGAATAAAAAGAAAAAAAAAAAAAAGAAGGAGATAGCTATCAATTGGACGAAAGAAAGAATAAAAAAAAAAAAAAAAAAAAAAAAAAAAAAGAAGGAGAAGCTATCAATTGGACGAAAGAAAAAAAAGAAAAAAAAAAAAAAGAAAAAAAAGAAGGAGATAGCTATCAATTGGACGAAAGAAAGAATAAAAAAGAAAAAAGAAAAAAAAGAATAAAAAAAAAAAAAGAAGGAGATAGCTATCAATTGGACGAAAGAAAGAATAAAAAGAAAAAAAAAAAAAAAAAAGGAGATAGCTATCAATTGGACGAAAGAAAGAATAAAAAGAATAAAAGAAAAAAAAAAAAAAAAAAAGGAGATAGCTATCAATTGGACGAAAGAAAGAATAAAAAAAAAAAAAAAAAAAAAGGAGATAGCTATCAATTGGACGAAAGAAAGAATAAAAAAAAAGAAAAAAAAAAAAAAAAAGAAGGAGATAGAAAGAATAAAATGGACGAAAGAAAGAACGAAAAAAAAAAAAAAAAAAAAAAAAAAAAGAAGGAGATAGCTCTCAATTGGACGAAAGAAAGAATAAAAAAAGAAAAAAAAAAAAAGAAGGAGATAGCTATCAATGGACGAAAGAAAGAAAAAAAAAAAAGAAAAAAAAAAAAAAGAAGGAGATAGCTATCAATTGGACGAAAAAAGAAAGAAAAAAAAAAAAAAAAAAAAAAAAGAAGGAGATAGCTATCAATTGACGAAAGAAAGAATAAAAAAAAAAAAAAAAAAAAAGAAGGAGATAGCTAAAATTGGACGAAAGAAAGAATAAAAAAAAAAAAAAAAAAAAAAGAAGGAGATAGCTATCAATTGGACGAAAGAAAGAATAAAAAGAAAAAAAAAAGAAAAAGAAGAAGATAGCTATCAATTGGAAGAAAGAAAGAATAAAAAAAAAAAAAGAAAAAAAAGAAGGAGATAGCTATCAATTGGACGAAAGAAAGAATAAAAAAGAAAAAAAAAAGAAAAAAAAAGAAGGAGATAGCTATCAATTGGACGAAAGAAAGAATAAAAAAGAAAAAAAAAAAAAAAGAAGGAGATAGCTATCAATTGGACGAAAGAAAGAATAAAAAAAAAAAGAAAAAAAAAAAAAGGAGATAGCTATCAATTGACGAAAGAAAGAATAAAAAAAAAAAGAAAAAGAAAAAGAAGGGAGAGATAGCTATCAATTGGACGAAAGAAAGAATAAAAAAAAAAAAAAAAAAGAAAAAAAGAAGGAGATAGCTATCAATTGGACGAAAGAAAGAATAAAAAAAGAAAAAAAAAAAAAAAAAAGAAGGAGATAGCTATCAATTGGACGAAAGAAAGAATAAAAAAAAAAGAAAAAAGAAAAAAAAGAAGGAGATAGCTATCAATTGGACGAAAGAAAGAATAAAAAAGAAAAAAGAAAAAGAAAAAAAGAAAAGAAAGAATAAAAAAGAAAAAAGAAATCAATTGGACGAAAGAAAGAATTGACGAAAAAAATAAAAAAGAAAAGAAAAAGAAGGAGATAGCTATCAATTGACGAAAGAAAGAAAAAAGAAAAAGAAAAAAAAAAGAAGGAGATAGCTATCAATTGGACGAAAGAAAGAATAAAAAGAAAAGAAAAAGAAAAAAAGGCGATAGCTATCAATTGGACGAGAATGAATAAAAAAAAAAAAAAGAAAAAGAAAAAAGAAAGAGAAGAGATAGCTATCAATTGGACGAAAGAAAGAATAAAAAAAAAAAAGAAAAAAAAAAGAAGGAGATAGCTATCAATTGGACGAAAGAAAGAATAAAAAAAAAAAAGAAAAAAAAAAAAAAAGAAGGAGATAGCTATCAATTGGACGAAAGAAAGAATAAAAAAAAAAGAAAAAAGAAAAAAAAGAAGGAGATAGCTATCAATTGGACGAAAGAAAGAATAAAAAAGAAAAAGAAAAAAAGAAAGAAATGGTTATTAATCGGACGAAAGAAGGAACAAAAAAGAAAAAGAAAATCTGATGAATGCAAATTTTAATGAAACTAAACTTGTAACACCAGTTTAAAAACTAGAAAATAGTCAAACGAAACCATATGGAAAAGTAATGGATTTTACTTAAAAAGTATCAGATAAACAGTGTTGACAAAGATTACCATCTGAGTGTGGATACAGTTGTCAGGACATACGCCTTTCTGCGCATGATTTGTCTGTTGGTATTCCCGTAGCATTTTCGATCTTATAGCATAAAACAGTTCACTGCTCATTATTGCCAACCTTTTTATGAGAGAAAAAAAGTTCTCACTGGGATTCGTTTCTATTGTCACATCCAAGATCTATAGATAGGCACACATGCATTAGTTAGTAAATATAAACGTACAATATTCAAATCCCAATGACACAAAGTTGATGGAACCAGTAAGGCAAATCTAATAAAAACAAATCACAGATATTATCGTATTCTTTCTATCCTTTTCACGAATCCATTAATTATTTTTTATTATTCTTAGTTATAACAATACGTAGACAATCTGGGACCTGTTGGTTTACTGACAATTCAGGTTTTAAAACAGTGAAGTTGATTTCAACATTAAAATATTGTCTGTTTAAAGAAAGTTGAACAAAAAATACTTACTGTATAAACAAAACGTAGTTTTAAATCTTATTCACTTAAAATATTTGTTAAATCGCATTAACTTAAAAATATCAGGTCATCCCATAAGTTCTGTCCGAATTTTGAATAAAGAAAACAAGTGACCAAATGTTACATTTAATTACAGATTCAATCAACAATGTATTCTCCCTGATTATCTATGACTTCCTTCCATCTATTAACAAACTTACTATCTATATTACTATATATTTGTAATTGTTGGCACTATAGTCCTGAACTTTGTCGCCATATTTATCACAACGTTTCGGCCGTTGTACTCTCCGGCCTTCTTCAGCTGGTTGGAATGTCGAACTGAACCCTTTATTTCGCTCGTTGGGTTAGATTATTCTAGTTACACATACCATCTCTAATAGATGTCAGTTATCAGTTGTCTCCTGTTAATTCCCCTCTGAAAGTTCTCCACCGCCTTAACCAGGTATTGAACTCATAACTCTTTGGGTCCTGTCACTGGATCCTCAAGGACACATGGCTAGTGGATAAAGGCGTTAGTTAGATCCAGTGAGAGGACCCAATGAGTTGTCAGAGAAAGACCTCATGAATATTATCGAGAAATTTACAAATACAATTACCTAGAGTTCGAGATTAACAGGATGTGGGGAATGACGACTGAGACTGTACCAGTAGTAATCGGAGCTCCGGGCCTCGTGAGAAAAAGAATGGAAAATTTTACTAACAGTATCCCAGGTAACATCAACATACAAATTGCTCAGAAGATCTCTCTAGGAAGATCTCATAGACTAAGAAAACTTATAACAATTAAATGACAATTCCACTATAGGGCCTAAGTATCATAGTTTGGACGGATCTACAGGATACAAAGCTGGAAACATAACATACACGAATAGTAATAATAATAATAATAAGAAGAAGAAGAAGAAGAAGAAGAAAAAGAAGAAATGGTTCAATCCTCTACGACGATGTTCTCAAGAATTCCTCATTTAACAAAGGCCGGATACTATTTGTGCTCAGGTCCAATGGTACTCTGAAATACATGCAAGCAAACCAAAATACAAAGTTAGATACAATCTTACATCATCGATACACATATAACAAAGTGTGGGCTTTAGTTACAGGTGATCTTACGAGTACTGGCCATACTTTGGCTTGTAGATACTTTTCGTAGCTTACAGTAATCAAGTGACTTGGCCAACAAAAGAGAACTGGTCGAAAGTAGTAAAATAAACATGAAATCTGCAGTGATGTCAAAGGTAATCCAAACGTCCTCAGCTACAGACATTGCGTGTTTCACAGATAAAGAGAGGCGTGCCTAGAACCATCGAACCAGAGCCAAAGTCCTGTTCAGATAAAATAAATTTTGAGATAGAACTGATATAACACCAATTGCTACACGAAATCCGAGAAAACATCGAAAATGGATAAAATGACCGAGCATCAGAATGACATATCCCCAGAATGTCATTTCCCCGGAATGACATTTCCCAGGAATGACATATCCTCGGAATAATATTTCTTTAGAATGACATATCCCCGAAATGACATTTCCCTGAAAGGACATTTCCCCGGAATGGCATTTCACTGGAATGACATTTCCCCAGAATGACATTTCGCTGGAATGACAAAGCCTCGTAATGATATTTCCCCGAAATGACATTTCCCCGGAATGACATATCCCCGGAATGACATTTTCATGGAATGATATATCCCTGAAACTGATGAAGAAAGAACCAATAATATCTATGTTTGAAACCGAAGGTAGTGTGAAGAAATCTATAGGATGATTTCACCTGACCATACCAAGTTTAAGTAATTTAAATAAGGGATGAATATTGGAAAAATGTGCAAGTCGCATTCAACCACGTCAATAGATTATTTTACACATAATATAACATATATATATATATATATATATATATATATATATATATATATATATATATATATATATAACATTACTGACATTTCATTAAATATAAATAATAATAACTTGTTTTATATCAAAGGAAGGAAAGAAAAAGAAAGAGATGGAAGGAAGGAAAGAAAGAAATCACTGAAATTAATAATAACGAGGCAAAGACTAGAAAGAAAGATAATAAGAAAGAAAAGAGAAGAACATTATGTATATATATCTGTATAATGGAAGATGTGGAGAGCCATGATTACTCGTATCCGGAAAGGACATAGTGGATGGAAGAAGCAATGGATGAACGGAGGAACAGAACGATCTACTATATTTTGACCAGTTGAATGTGAAGGAAGAACAAGTAGAAAAAAGTGTTAAATGGTTTAGATTGAATACAGACTGGCATATATGATCTTCCACTGCGGTTTATTCTACTATATTCGCGTGCGTGTGTCTATTGCGTTCGGCAATCTTAAGCGACTCTGCCTATATGCCTGGAGAGTTTTCATTCAATTGGCAGATGTGGCACAACAACCTTTGTGGCTGTACTGATAATCTTGATTGTCGTGACTGTATAATATTGCCTTTTTTACTATCCTTACGTCCAGTACACGATTCCTTAGCGGTAATCCCCAGTCTCAGCACGTCGTATCGGTAGAACCACATCTCTGCCGCTTCAGTTCGTATGAGTAGACGTATCACTTCAAGAGTGTCTAACACTCAAAGACCTATAAGAGATTAGATATTACATAATACTCCAGTTTGAAAAGGCGAACATCACCAGTGTTGAGGCCATGATGATGAAGTCACAGTTATGTTAGGTTGGACACGTTTCTAGGCTGCCTAAAATGTTATTGTACGGCGAGCTTTCCATTGGCTATCGAGACAGCGGGGCACTAAAGAAGAGATTCAAAGATTGCTGAAAAAATTCTTTGCTACCCGCCACATCAACCACTGCCAATGTTAAGACAGCTGAGAACCGGGACGCCCGGCGACACAGCACCAACCATGCTGTCTCCTTCTTTGAAAATAGTTGCAGGGCCGCTCTCAGGGATAAGAGGCAGAGGAAGAAGTATTACATCGCTATGCCATCGAGCCCAGGCAGGACTTACATCTGCAACTGCTGCGACCGTGTATGCTTATCCCGTATTGGACTTATCAGTCACCAACATCCCTGCAAGCGACGTGTACAGACACGCTTTTGATTTTCGTTTTGCGAAGCCAAGCAATGATGATGAGTACCCCAGCACTTCTTTTTAGTTGTCTTTAAAGACATTTTACCATTTCTTAATACTTTGATTACATCTTCCTTTTTTCCTATGTTTTTCGTATTCTGCGACCATTTTTCAACTATCGAAATTTCTCCACCTATTTCATTCTGATATCCATAATTCTTAAATTCTATGTATTAGTATATTTTATCAGCCATTCATAGATCACCGGTTATTTTGTGTTGGGAAGAATAATGCTTTTTAGTCTTCCAGTAGTATACCGAGTACTAATATTAGCAGTAGCGTAGCCATTGATACACTAACACTGAATACGAATATAGAAAGATGAGATACACGACCGTAACAAACAAAACATTTAATAAGGCAAACAACTTAAATACATATATTAAAAAGATTTACATATGTCCCAAAACAAATGATTGTTCATATTGTCCAAGGAACGAGAAGATTTACAGAACAAGATCAAATAAATAACATACCAGCTTTATAGCCTTTGACCGTCAGTAGCTAAGTGAATCAAAATTCCTGTTTTTTTTTTCTCCACGTTAGGCTGTGCAGATGTTGACCAGAGTCCACATGTGTGGATGGCCTGTTGGTCAAGAAGGTAAAGAGACAGTTCCGCAAAAAATGAAAGCAAAAAGAAAATAAAAAGGGACAGTTCTCTCTAAAGGGGCCGAACTTCAATGAGCTCAACACAAAGAAAAACAACTGTGGTCTCCCTACATATGCATTCTCTCTCCTTACAGTTAATGATCAATTCTTTCTTTAGTGATGACATCGAAATGGACTTGTAGATAAAGTAGGCATGCTACAAGCAAAGATTTGAGAGAGAAGGTATTGTCACACCGATTGACTTTCTTGCCATTAACATATCAGCCCGAAAATACCCGGAAGAAATCGAATGTAACTCGATAAAGAAATAGGTAAGTAATTGCATAGAAGAATAGAATATCCCAGGGGGTAGAGAAATGCTATAAAACAAATTATATAGCAGTGAGTTGATGAAAGCGACAAGCACAATGGTAGTCTTGATGGAAGTCTACAGAGAGAAATTGCATAAAAGAAAAACTTAAATTTATGCAAGGGATCTTACGACTCTGTACAAATCCGGACATCACGAAGATGTAACAGAATTATTATATGTGGAAAGTGCCGAATGCTGTAAAGACTACGCTCAAATGGCTAAACTTATATTTGATAAATGTGCGTAACAATGGCGCAAAAATAATCGGAACACTCTAAAGAGCTAAAAATAAAATGGAAGAAATAAAGACAAACGAATCGAAAGTAAATAAGCCAAGTACCAAAAAAGACTGCACGGGGATTTAAAATGCAAATTCTAAATTTCGCGCTCCAAAAATCATAAGCGTTGCTTCAAAGAGGTGAACAGAAGAGATAAGAGTACCTCTACATTGAAATTCAGAATGTATACATCTGAATGCACATCAACATAAACAAAGCCATAAAATCAATATATGCTACCTCTTTCAGAGAAGTATATTTTACAGTAAACAATATAATCACTGAATGTAGCAAGCAGGTTTCTAAACAATGCAATCTCTTATTACATTGTTTATTTTCTTGAATGCATCTTTCGCTCTACCAAAACGCTTCGGAGATCTTTGCTTCACATTTCTGTCGACAATACGCAGATAGTCAAAATACTTTACCTTTATGATTCTTGATATCCCAAACTGTAGCTATGACGTCGGATGTCTAGAGACTACAGAATAGAATTGAAGTAATATGAAAGATTACCAAAATCTTCTCGAAATGTAAGGAAGTGTCAGACGACGAGAAGACTAAAATGGTTTACATGATGGTGAAGAGAGTAGCGGTGCCGATCAAAAAGTAAATGAACAAAAGAAATAAATTAAAAAACGGACACAGTAAAAACAAGAAGAGAAATTAATAATAAAAAAAAGAATGTTGCTGTCATTTGATAATATCAAAATAAAATATGAATAACGAAAAAAAGATAGTTAAATCGGTTGATTGGTCCTTTCAACTGAGCATAATGGAGGACGAAAACTTGGAAAAGTCGTAATTTTCCTCTGGATTAAACGGAGAAAGGAACACTTGATTGCCGGATAATCGGTAGTACACCTGTATAGTCGAACCAATCTGATAATTTTAATTCTAGGTTAAGATTAATTTGTTCTGATTTCCATTTGTGTCCTACAATTGTGCGTCTCTTTCTTTTTAAATGTTTTCCTCGCAAATTAGTGTGACTATTTGTTTTGGTTTCTTTAGGAGAAGGTAGTTTCGATTTTATATCCTCGGACTCAAGATTTCTTCCAATATAGGTTTAAAAGTATTTTGTTTTGTCTGTATTTTTGTTTTGTTTTTTGTTTTCTGAACTATTTTAAACTGGGCACATGGCTGTGTCATTTGGACGTTAGTTTTCTGGCAAAGAAACCAGGGTTCGAATTTCACCATGAAAGTTAAGATTTTATTTTTAATCATGTTAACGTGAAAAAAGAATGCTACTCTAATTTGATAATATCAAAATAAAAACTGAATAACAAAAAAAATAAAAAAAAACAAAAAACAAACAAGCTGCTAAACCGGTTTATCGGTCCTGCCAGGAGAACTTAATAGAAGACGGACATTGACACAGCGACTAAAGATAAACACCAAAGACCAACTGTTATATACAATTGTAACAATTACTGTCTAATTATCGCTGATCCCACCGAGGAATTTTGTTTACAGAGAGATGGCTATTAAGACTTAATATAAAGAGAAGCCAACGGCTTCACATGAAATTCATACTTCCAAAATGCTAAAAACACGTCTTGATTATAAGCCCGAACACATTACTGGTTATAAAGCAAATTTTCAGCTATCGCCGAACCAGATGTATTCACGCATCTATGCAATTTGTTTGCCTTTCCCATGTGAATATTGGCCGGCAGTTACTTATTGATACATGCTTCCAACATTTGACCTGTTATGCTTACATAGTCCGTGGCACACAGACATTTCCATTGATAAATCTTCGAATTGATATGTTGGGGAGGTATAACATTCTTTCGGATCGGTCGAAATTTTGGTCGGGTAACAAAGATAATACGTGGTTTGACAGACAGAGAACACGAAAGGTAATACTTCTTATCACCGATCCATTGTATAATAATTTTG